TGCTGGACACGAACGTCGGTCTGCGCCGTGGGAGTCCAGGAACATAGCCATTACGTTAACTGCTGGTTCCCGAATGATCTGACTTTTTTCCGTTCTCCATGGAGAGGAGAAGGGTGGAGACCGTGGTGAGCAGGGCAGAGGCGGGTGTGCAGACGTTTCTGACGTGACTTCAGATGACTCGCTTGAGCTGGGCTGTGGGGGAGACCCCCCGCTTCCTTGGTGTGGGCCAGTTGGTGCTGCCTTTAGCCCCCACCGCTGATCCGTGCTCTCAGGGGCCCACAGTCCAGCAGGAGGGGAAGGCAGTGGGGACTGTCCCTGCGTCAGTCCCGTTCCTTGCCCATCCATGGTGCATCCTCTGGGCACGGGCTTTCAAGCCCAGTTCGTTGGATACTCTCCCAGTTGGGAATTTTGAGTTTGGCTGTGACTGAGTTTGGAAGGGTGGAAGCCGGGACGCTCTGAATGGAGTGCAGGCTGAGGGTGTGCTGTCGTCTGTTGGGATGTGCGAGGCAGCGGAGGGAAGCTGGAGGTGTCCGGCAGGTAGCTGTCGGCTGCTGAGAAAGGGTGGCAGCTGACAGCGGCCACAACAGCAGACTTTGGAGTCAGGCAGGTCCGGTTTGAAAACCTAGCCTTGCCACTCGGTAACCCTGGTACTTAGGCAAACTACGTACGCACCTGAGCCAGGGTACCATGGGACGTTAGTGTCCTGGGTGTGGGGTCAGGGCAGGAGGCAGCTGATGCCCAGAGGAGGGACATGGGCCGAGAAGCCAAACCGTGTTTCCAGCAACTGAAACCAGAGGTTCAGCGGCACGAGCAATGCCCTGCTTTCCTGGAATTCTTTCAACTCCATTCTGTCCCAGCAATAACTTTAACGTGAGAGGTAGCGCAGGGGAGGACTCAGGAGCGGAGACTGTTCAGGAAGTCTTCCGTGTGCTCCTTGGCAAATTAACCTGCCCGTCAGTGTCTCCACGGGAAATGGGGATCAGAATAACACACCACTGGCTCCATCTCATTCAGTCCCCAAAACAGCTCCATGAGCAAGTTGACCCTGAAAGCAGTGTGCCCAGGGTCAGGAGGGTGGCTCGGTGGTCGCCACAGGACAAGTTCAGTCCTAATTCAGGCCATCTCAAATATTTTAAAATACACTGCATGGCCAAAGGCGGGACTTCTGCCATCCTGCCCCATTCATCCTGCCAGGGGCCAGTCTCGGACCCGGGGAAGACGGGCCTGGGCTCTGAGAGTGCTTATGAAAGGGATAGGATGTGACAGCCAGTGGCACAGGGTCCGGGGCCAGGCGTGCTGTCGCCCGTGTCACTCTTGCTGTTCCTACCCTTCACCTGTAGCCTGGAGGACCCAGGAGGAGGGAGCTGGAAGCCCCTCTGGGGCTCTGCCAGGCTGGGCGTCAGCTCCCACAGTTTCCTTGAGGTCTGAGTTTTGTTTCGGCCCCGTACAGTCATTCCACACAACGACAAAGACTGCTGCTCCCAGTTAAATAAGAGTGGTTGGATTATTCACCGTTCTGAGTTTGTCACATCACACTTCTTTATTAAACCCGAAAAAGCAAAAGCTGACTCTTGTGAAAGCAATCGAGAGTTTGCAGAGTGCCGATACAGAGTTCTCTGGAGCCGTGGGAAGCTTGAATTTGTGCTGGCACCTTCGACTTGGAGTCTCCTTATTAGAGTCACGCGGTTGACTTAAAAAAAAAGTGTTGGAAAGTTTCCCTAATTGACAGATTTGATTGAGAGAACAGTCCCCAACGTCCCATAATTGAGCAAACAGCTTGTCACCATACAAATAATTAAAACACCATTTGAAAAACGCACATAGTGACAAGTGCTAACTTAGACGTTCACAGCTCGGTGTCTGAACACAGATTTTCAAATGATACGAGCCCTTTGGTTTGGTGTTTTGCTTCTTGCAGACGCTGTGAAGTGAGCAGTGTTAAATGAGCCATTGCAGGGGTGGGGGACTCCCCCGTCTCGGTCTATGCGGGGTGGCGAAGTCCAGAAGGCGGCAACTACAAATGACGGCTCACCTGCCCTCGTGGCAACTGCCCGCAGACGCCTGCATAGTTCGCATTTCCATGCCCGTGTCCCTGTTTCCCTGGGCACATTCTTCCGGTCTCAGCAGGCTGCGGGAGCTCGGTGTTCGTCTTTAAAGGGGCAGCGGAAGTGCCAGCTCCCACCCCGGGCCTTGCTTCTGCGCCTCCAGACAGGGGCGCACCTTGCTCTGTTGTCACCAGATTCGGTGGACAGCTGGGTCTCAGTTCTCCCAGCTCCAAACTGTGTGGTTGGAACATAAACATGGTCCCGTCCATTGAAGGGCTTGTAGTCTTGTTCTTCTGCTGGACAAGGAGATTGTCCCCACAGACATCTGTCAGGCTGGACCGGCTCCAGGGTTGTGTCTGCCCCGTGTGAGGACGTCTGGGTTGTGGTTCAGAAGACCCACCTATTCAGAAGACCCGCGGATGCAGCTCTGGAAGGGGCTTGGTTAGAGTGCATCATTTCACAGGTGCATGAGCTACGCCGGCTGAGGCCCAGAGTGGAATCCTGCAGTCGTGGGGCCTTTCCTGGGTCTCCCGTCTCCCCATCGAGTTCTTTCCAGCTGTTACCTGTCTACATTTCGAATTTTTTGTGGGTGGGTGGCAGTTTGTTTCTCTGCATTTTAAAGTAAGGAAATCAAGGTGAAGAAGTGATTTGCCCAAAGTAATACAGCCCGAAGTCACTGTGGGTGGGAACCCGGGTTTTCCTGATTCTGTCTGCTGTGCCACCTCCACTCCATCTGGAATCAGCCCCTCGGCCATTGTTCCTGCTTTGAGGCAGCACAGCCCTATCACGGACCAGCCGGAACTCCAGCTTCATATTCCATCCTCCTCTGACACATCCACTGTGTCCTGGTGGCTGCCAGAGGTGCCTCTCCAGCCCCAGTGCTGTGTTGTGAATGTGTGTGTGTGTGTTTTTAAAGAGAGATTATTGTTACAGATGCGTGTGCTCTCTGGAGAGACAGAGAGAGAGATAGAAAGCGAGAAATCACTCCCCAGGATGGCCACGCTGCAGTCCCTTCTCTTCCAGTCTCCTCTCGGGCTTTTGGGCAGGGCTGGACATGCACCTGGAGTGTCTTTAGCCGCTGGGTCCAGGACTTGAACTGCGGCCGACTGTGTGGGAGTCCAGCAATGTAACCATTACTCCATCTGCCGGTCCCGTGATCGTTTAGATGAAGCCCTCTGAGAGTGGGGCCAGGCTGTTTGCCGTGTGGTCAAAGCCTACACGGTGGGAAGACGTGTTTGTTGAAGGAGTTCCCGCTCACCAGCCTGCCTCAGAGCCCTCCCCTCAGCCCGGGGAGCAGGTGCTCAGGGAGAAGCCGCTTGCCCCAGCACCAGAGCAGTGGGTGTGGGGATCACATCACGTGTGGGGGTCACACAGAGTGGGCGTGCTGTGCGCGTCCTGTGCCACACGTCTCTTCGGTACAGCGCCGTGCCGGAGCGGAGCGCTCGCTTCCTGAATGAATGCAGGTGGGCTTGGGAAGCGGCGGGCTGCATGGGAGGCCTAAGGGAGTGCAGCAGAAGGAAGGAAGCAGCAGGAACACTGGACCTTGGCACCGAGGGGCCAGAGCTTGTTCAGATGAGATGGGTGCCGGGTCTGCCAGTCCTGTGTCCGGGACATGCTGAGATGCAGCTCTGCAGGAGGGAGGAGTGCCTGAGCAGTCGGGCTGCGCCTGCTTCGGGCCACTCAGCCTTCCCACTCATTCTACAGCATCTATGAACTGCGTAGTGTAGCTTTATGACTTTTTAAAATAAGAGTTATTTAACTTTGTTTCTCGTTATTTTTCAATTTGCTATAGGGCACATGTATTCACAGGGGTGAGGGGGGTGAGAAAGCAAGACACCAGGTCTGGGGCTTGAACCGTGGTTGGCCATGTGGGAGTCCAACACCTTAACTACCATAGCACTTGCTGACCTGCTGTACGACATTTTTAAAGATAATAGTTCGGGACTGGCAGGTGGCATGGTGTTTGAGGCACTGGGCTCTCCCACCTGGCTGACTGCAGTTTGAGTCTTGGACCGGCAGCTTGCTTTCTCACTTTCCCTCTCTCTCTCTCTGTCTTTTTTTTGGTCAAATTAAATAATAATAATAATAATAAACAGAATTAAATAAATAGTTCTTTTCAGAAATGATAATAGTTCTGGGAAGCAGGGTTGATAATGCTGGGCTGAATCTAGGGAACAGCTCATACTGACCTGCCTCACATGAGCTCTTTAAAGGAAAGTGGCCTGCTTTGTGCCCTGCACCTCCTAGCCCCAAGCCAACAGGAACATCTGGGAGAGCTGGGGACGTGGCTTGTGGGTTCTGTGCAGGCGAATGCGGTATTCCTTGCTCATGGGATAGCCTGCCTTGGGATTCTGGGGGGCGTGGACAGCTTTGCACTGGAGAAGCCTGGACTTCTGGGGCTTGACCTGCAGCCTCAGATGGGGAGAGAAGAGTGTTCGTCAGCATCCTTCTTGGCCTGCAGGGAGCCGACCCTCCTTATCATGACTAGGAAGCGGTTGGTTAGAACAGAGTGCTGATGGCTGGTAAATAGGAGCGTGAGCGAGGAGAGGCAGCTCCCACATGCATAATGCAAGAGACGTATGAATGGGTGCAGGGAGCCCATTGATAAATGTAATGCCAGATGGTCAATGACCACCCAGGAGACAGTACTCAGGAGAGACCCGATTGACTCAGCCATTGATTCAGGCAAATGCATTTTTAATGGCTATCCAGATGCATTTTCTAATTGGCGATGACATCACCGTGTGTTCCAGAATAAAGCATGAATCATCCTCCAGTGATGAGGAGCACGCAGCCGCCAAGCCGTCGAGTGCGAGCCACCTCCCGCTTCTGTCGAACGTCAGCTACAAAAAGACCCTCCGGCTCACTTCGGAGCAGCTGGTGAGTCTCCCGTGCCCTCTCTGTGTTCCAAAGTCCAGGCCACAGTAGGGTCAGGTTGTGTAGACTCTTCAGGTGGCGGGAGGGGGGCTGTGATGAGGTGGACACCCTCCCACTCTGTGACCCCATTCCTCCTCCCTGGCACCTTGCCTAGCTCAGGGCTGCCTGCTACCTTTGGTGACCTCAGGCCCCTCATTTTGGTGCCCCATTTCCACCTTCGGACCTGCCCGGCTGGCTCTTCAGTATCCCTTCACCTTGTCTCCCCTTTCCCTGGAAGCCCTGAAGCTCTTATTTTCAGGGGGAGGCAGCCTTGTGGAGCTAATTTATCCCGAAGTGTAATGACTGATAGACTGTAGGATCTCTCAGGAGTCTGTTTCATTTAAGAAAGATGTTCATTAACTCAAACATCTTTCTCTCGTTTTTTTGTTTTTTTTTTTTTTTTTTTTTTTAAAGAGAGATTTTTGCTATAGGATGAGTGTGCTTGCCAGAGATACAGAGACAGAGAGACAGAAAGCAAGAAATCACCCCCCAGGGGGTATGGCCATGCCACAATCCCTTCTCCTTCATTCTCGTCTGGGATTTTTGGCACATACACCCACACTCCCAAGGTGTGTTTTAAGCTGCCGGGTCCAGGACTCGAACTGCGGTTGAGTATGTGGGAGTCCAGCAACATAACCATTACGCCATCTACTGGTCCCTCAAATGCATCTCTTAATTTGGAGGAAATCAAGCATTTGTGATGGGATTTGGAGAACTTCAATTAGCAAGTAGCATTATCTGGTCACAATGCTCTGTGTGTGTGTGTGTGTGTGTGTGTGTGTGTGCGTGTGGTGTGTGTAAGACCAGTATTTTTGTTTGTTTGTTTGTTTATTTGTTCCATGTTAGAGAGGCAGAGTGAGAGAGAGGCAGAGATACAGGCCACAGCTCTGGGTCATGGTTACTTGTGGTAACCTGTAGAGGGAGCCCTAGGATGTGAACCTGGGACCTTCCCATGCCGGTCCAGTTCCACTACCACTATCTGGCCTAACCAATTTTAATTAGACCCCTTATTCCCTAGACCTAGTTCTTTATCTTTTGAAAAAGGTTTTTGCTGTGCTCACCAAGAGAGAGACAGTGAGAGGGAAAGTGAGAAATCACCCGCCCAGGGGGATAGCCACACTGCAGTCCCTTCTCTTCCGTTGTACTCCCGGGATCTTGGGCATACATGCACATGCACCTGGTGTGATTTTCAAGCCATGAGGTTTAGGACTCAAACTGCGCTTGGCCACAGAGGAGTCCAGCGCCTTAACCACTATGCCACCTGCTGGGCCTGGCTAGACCCCATTTTAAATCATTGGCGAACAAATGTCTGTTTGTTTGTTTGTTTGTTTGTTTTTTGCCAGTGGTCTTTTGTTTTTCTCCTAAGAGTTCATGGGGAAACAATGGAGTTGGGATGGTGTAAATGGGGAAAGACACCAAGAGGCCGAGGCACCCGCTCACCCTGTGCCTGGGGGTCTCTGTAACACGCGGCCTCTGCTGTGCCGTGGGGAGAACCTGGGGGAGGGCAGCCTGTGGGTCTGTGCAGCCAGCTGGCATGCACCCGGGGGCCCAGCGAGAGGCTCAGAGCTGCCCGAAAGCTGTTCTGTTTTCAGCGTTAGCTGTGATTGTCTTGGGTCTTGACTGTGTTCCTCTGGATAGGAGGCGTGCCTGACTGATGACCGAGATTCCCGTTTTCTAATCAGTGTCAACATAGTTGTCATTTAAAAGCATGGTTATTTAGGGGAACATTTTCACACGTGGCTTAAATGTATCTCCCCAACTTGTCCCGATATGGTAGGGTTTTTGAGTTGCCGAGTTTGTGTCCTATGAGTTCATGTCCTGTGATCACCAAGAGTCAGAAGCATGGATGGAAGGAAGGGATAACAGAGCAAAGTTTACTGAGAGAGAAAACAAGCTCCCAGAGCAGGGAGGGGTCCCGAAAAGTGGGTTGCTGGAGAGGAGCTGAGGCCAGAGGTTTTTTCTTTTTTTTTTTTTTTGAGAGGTTTTTGCTATAGGGTGGTGGCGCATGTACTCACCAAAGAGAGAAAGCACCCTCCTCAGTGGGAGTGTTCATGTTGCAATCCCTTCTCCTGTATTTCTCCACCCTGCTGGGATTCGGGCATGCACAGACGCCTGGCATGCTTTCAAGCAGCTGAGGCTGGGATGTCAACTGTAATTGGCCGTGTGGGATCCAGCTCTCTTATCCATTATGCTGACCCACCCTTAGGAAGGTTTGTATTCAAATTTCCCCATTTGTTCCAGTAACTTTTTTTGAATGGTTTTTGCCATAGGGCACATGTGCTCGCCTGAGAGAGAGAGGGGAAGTGAGAAATCCCCCCCCCATGGGGGATATCTATATTGAATTCCTTTCTCCATTCTCCTCTGAGATTTTGGGCACAAACACACAAGTGCTCAACATTTTATTTATTTAATTTCTTTTTTTTTTTTGAGAGAGATTTTTGTTCTAGGGCATGTGCACCCGCCAGAAAGACAGAGACAGAGAGACAGAAATTGAGAAATCACCCCCCAGGGGGGATGGCCACACTGCAATCCCTTCTCCTCCATTCTCCTCTCGGGATCTTGGGCACGCACGCACATGCGCCCGGCGTGAGTTTAAGCCACTGGGTCCGGGACTCAAACCGCGGTCGACTACGTGGGAGTCCAGTGACATAGCCATTACGAGGTTTTAATCCCACAGTCTGAGCAGTGGGCTGGACCTCTGATGATCGGGCCTCAGGACATAGTTACATGGTAACCTGTGTGGTTATTAGCCCATTCTTGGTGGGACCAGCAGAGGTATTGATCTGCGCTTTTTGTTAGAATGTAGTTAGCAGACAGAAACTGTTGCCCTTGACGATAGCTGTTTTGAGCGAATGTAGCCAGCTTTTTGTTTGTTCAAACTCAGCGGTTATGACGATCCCGGGTAAAGCTTGCTGCGGCTTATCTGGGGCCTTTCGGGGTCTGTGTGTTTCCTACCACTGCCCTGCCTTACTGGAGTGCTAAGGGTGCCCTGTTCTGAAATGGAAACGCACATGCCAAGCCTTGCAGCCCTCACGTACCCTGTCCGATGACCCTACCCTGAAATATGGGGCCAGGTTAGCTTCATCTGCAGAAGTGGTCACATTCGTAGGAAGGGGGTGCTCTGCTTTGCAAGTGGGTGCGAGAGCAAGAACCAGGACAAGAAAGCGGAAAGAAAACTATACAGCGACCCACGGAAATACTTCGATTGAGGAAGCCTATTCCTGCTTCTCACGGAACAGGACACAAAAACCCCTCCACCCAGGCCTTCCGCAGGCAGACCCATGGCTCCTGTTTTTCAGAAAAGTTTGAAGCTGAAGAACGGCCCAAACGACGTGGTTTTCAGCGTCACCACCCAGTACCAAGGCACCTGCCGCTGCGAAGGCACCATCTACCTGTGGAACTGGGACGACAAGGTCATCATTTCCGACATCGACGGGACAATCACCAGGCAGGTGCCGCGGACTCGGAGCTGAGGCGGCTTCGACCTGGGGCCCCTGGGCCTGGGGCTGGGGCTGCTTTGTCCTTGGGTAGCGTCACGGGACTTGTATGTCCCCCTGCTGCAGCCGTAGGGCTTGGTCGTAGTTCCCATCTGGGACGTTGCCCCGACTTTGTGGTTACGGGGACGCCTCTGGGGAGCGCCTTCCCGAGTGGCCTCTTCCGTGGCGCTGGCAAGCGTGTGGTCACGTGGAAGGTTGCGTTTCCCGGATGGCCATGTCCTCACTGAACATCCTCCTTGGATTCCTTGAGTCTTGGGCTTTCTAGCCTGAAAGAAAGTCGTGGGTGTCGTCTGCATTTTTATGAGGCGTGCAAGGTACAATGAATTTGAATGGGATTTTAAAACATTATGTTTATTCATTTTGTACTTTAAAAAAGTATTTATTTTATTTAGTATTTTTTATGTTTGCTGTAGGGCGTGTGTGCTCACCAGAGAGAGAAAGAGAGAGAAAGTGAGAGTCGAGAGAGTGGAAGTGAGAAAGCAAGCCACCAGGTCCAAGACTTGAACTGTGGTCGGCCATGTGGGAGTCCAGCACCTTAACCACCATGCCAATCTGCTGGCCCCCATCTTGTATGTTTTATATAACAAAAATAAATGTTTCTTCCCTTTGCTTGATTTTTCTTTTCTCTGTTTCTCTGTTTAGATCAGACACCCTCGGCCACATTCTGCCCACCCTGGGGAAGGACTGGACCCACCAGGGCATCGCTAAGCTGTACCATAAAGTGAGCCAGTAAGTGCTGAGGGCCCACCCCCCGCAGACCTGCACGTGTGTTCGGTACTGAGTACAGACGTGTCCTGCCAGGACCCGCATTTGAATTGAATCCCAGGAAACAAGGAAGGATGTACCGGTGAATCGTGGATTGCTGGGAGAGAGACTGTGGCTGGAGAGGGGAGGGGCCGAGGTCCAGGGCCAGATAAAGAGCTGGCTGGTGCTTGTCCGAGGGGTCTTCAGAAGGCTCGTGGACACGTGCGTTATGAAAACACTGCGTGGACTTCTAATTCTTGTGCACTGAAATAAGCTCGCACTTGAATTCCATTTTTCCGTGACCTTTTTGAAGTCCCTTTGGACATGCCTAGCAATTTCCTATCAGCTCAGAACTTGCTGTGTTCGAGCAGGTTTCAGCGACAAGCTCTGGCTGCAGTGTAGGCCCCGTCAGCTGTGTGCCTCTCGTCCACCTCATCCGTGGACTGCTCAGTGAGTGAGCCACACGGAACAGCCCCCACCGTGGGGCCCGGAGCCTGGGCATCAGCTGAGGAAGCAGCTTTCTGAGTGTGCTGGGTGTCAGGCACGGGCACTACTAAGTCTTACAGTGACTTAGAAAAGCGTGCCATGTTCGGACCAGTGAAGTTAACCCAGGGCGTTAGTTTCATTTGCCCAGGTTCCTGTGGGTGCTGAGGGGGTGAACCCATTCAGACCCTGGTTGCCAGCTGCACCTCCATTGCTTCTGCTCTCTGCCTCCAGAGTTGAGCCTTCAGGGATTCCCCACCCTTACTGGCTTGCTGGGTCCAAACTGCTGACCCACTTGGTCACACTTCTGGGGACCCGACTCACCACGTGCGTGAGGCCTCTCCCTCTGGCGGATTCTGTTCTCCAGCCAGTCAGAGCCAAAGAGGACAGCCCTGTCCGTCCAGGGCAAGGGGGTGGAGGGGGAGGAGGGCACATACCCGAGAATGCTGCCCCATGGTCCGCAGCCCAGTGCACACCCCTCCCCATGCTGATGGTGATGGGAAGGGCAACCAGCCAAAGCTATTGGGTCATTAAAAAGACATGACATATTTTTCTGTTTTTCTGTGCAAAAATGTGTCATGACTTTTCTGACAACCCAGTATTTCTGGAACTCCACGCGCACAGAGGAATGAAAGGTGCTGCCTGTCCCGTTCGTTCATTTACTCGGCACTTACGGAGCGTCTGTTAATGCGGGGCCGATGGCCGGTGCTCAGGGTGGTCATGAACCAGACGGTCTGATCTGGGACTTGAGGGTCCGGTAGCCCAGCAGTGGCTCGGAGGGAGGACTTTATATCCTGGTGGGATCGCATACCTCACATTTCTTCATAGGTGTCCAACTGTTGATATGACTTGACTTTTCAACTTTATTTTTCTTCAAAAAATTATAAAAGTTGGGCCAGCCAATGGTGTGGTGGTCAAGGCAGCCGAATCCCACATGGCTGACCATACAGTTTGAGTCCCGAACCCAGTGGTTTGAAAACCATGCTGGGCGTGTTATGTGTGCATGCTCAACATCCCCTCAGGATGGAAAAATGGAGGACAGAGATTGTGGTACGACCACCTCACTGGGGGATGCTTTCTCTCTCCTCTCTCCCTCTCTCTCCCCTCTCTCCCTCTCTCTCTCTCTTCTCTCTCTCTCCTCTCTCTCTCCTCTCTCTCTCCTCTCTCTCTCCTCTCTCTCTCCTCTCTCTCTCCTCTCTCTCTCCTCTCTCTCTCCTCTCTCTCTCCTCTCTCTCTCCTCTCTCTCTTCTCTCTCTTCTCTCTCTCTCTGTCTGTCTTTCTTTGGGGAGTGTATGTGTCTTCTGGCAAATTAAAACACACACACACACACACACACACACAAGTCATAACACGAGTGTATAAAGAATGAAGATGAGGGAACCAGCAGTTAGCGTAATGGCTATGTCGCTGGACTCCCACGTAGTCGACCGCGGTTCGTGTCCTGGACCCGGTGGCTTAAAACTCACGCCGGGCGCGTGTGCGTGCGTGCCCAAGATCCCGAGAGGAGAATGGAGGAGAAGGGATTGCGGCGTGACCATCCCCCCTGGGGGGTGATTTCTCGCTTTCTGTCTCTATGTCTCTCTCTGTCTGTCTGGCGAGCGCATGCGCCCTACAGTGAGAATCTCTCAAAAAAAAAAAAAAGAGTGAAGATGACACGCACTCTCAGGGCAGGGCTGTCATATACAGGTGCCCCGGAAGTAGAGCTGCCAGGTCAGAGGTGAGTACCCAGAGGAACTTAGTCAGTCGTGCCGAGCCGCCTGCCGCAAAGGTCGCCTGTCGTGCTCACGGGGACAGTGCACCCAGGCCTCCCTCCCTGCTGCAGGCTGACCGTTCATCGGGCAGGATTGATCGCTTCAGGAGCTGCCTGGACTGGAAATTACATCTATTTTTAGTTGAAAGAAAGAAACCCTCATGGGTCAGGGTACGGAGGTGCTTGCAGCCTGATTCATCTTGCTTTGTGCAACATGAATCTATTTCTGTCCTCACAGTAACATTAACAAAAAAACAAAAAACAGCCACATCTTTTCTCTTTGGTCTTGTTATGTGTCTCTTCTGGATTTTCTTAGACAAGATGTCTTGAAAAATCAAGTCATACGGGAACCAGCAGTTAGCGTAATGGCTATGTCGCTGGACTCCCACGTAGTCGACCGTGGTTCGTGTCCCG